TCGGAGCTGGAGGTCTGAGGTGAAGGTGTGGCAGATTCGGGTTAGTGTCTTGGAGGCCTGTCTCATTGGCTCATAGGTGACCGTCTTTTCTCTACATGTTTGTGTCCTAATCTCTCTTTATAAGGGCACCCGTCACATTGGATTAGGGCCACCATGGCTTCATTTTAACTCATTTGTGTCTTTAAAGGCCCTGTCTCCAAATACAGTTCCGTCCTGAGCTAAGCTATTGGGGGCTAGGATTTCGGCGTATGGATTCGGAGGGTCACAACTTAGCCCTCACATTGCAGTTTGGGGGTTTTGTGGTTCTCTTCCCTCAGCCTCAAGCTCTCTCGGCTGTGCCTATGGGTGCGGGACAGGCCCCTCAGAGCCTGGCTCCTCCCTGCCTTGCTGCCTGGTCTAGAGCAGTGAGAGAAGGTGCTGGGCAGGCTCCCAGGAGGGTTGGCCTCCTGGCCCCTCACTGAGGCGCCCCCCTCCAGCACTTGTCACCTAGGAGATCCTGACTGGCCTGTGGTCCTGAGACAAGTCTCTGTTTTGCAGAAATGGGCCCCCCTCACCACCACCCTGGCCATCGCATGCCTCATCCTGGTATCAACGAGCACCCGCCCTGGGCTGGACCCCAGCACCCCGACTTCGGCCCTCCCCCCCACGGCTTCAACGGGCAGCCCCCACACATGCGGCGACAGGGCCCGCCCCACATCAACCACGATGACCCCAGCCTGGTCCCCAACGTGCCCTATTTCGATCTCCCTGCCGGGCTGATGGCCCCCCTCGTGAAGGTAACGCCCCGCGGTGGGCTCCAAGCTGAGCATGCTCACCATGCTGGCCCCCATTTCTCCTGGTGAAAAGTGAACACACAGGATCGGGTGCCTCCCGGGGCACCCCTTCCTCATCTCCCACTCCCTAGGGACCCTGATCCATCAGTGGGAGGTGTCTGAACTGGAGTTGTATGGTGTGGCCATGAGCGACGCCATGTCTGTCCTGCCCCTCGTATCCCTCCCGCTGCGGGGAGCTTCAGCCTTGCGGGGCCGGCTGGGCTCTGAGGCTGGACTCCTTCCTTCATCCTTCTCGGTCCAGGCCCTCAGAAGCACCTTGTCCCAGGGCTGCTGATGGAGGGAATGTCTTAGAAGGAGCCACCTGTGAGCTGTGCCTGCCAAGCACACAGGGAGGGGGGTGGTCCTGGAGAAGCCAGGCAGGGCTGGCAGCAGCTGGTACCAGTGTGGGGTGGCCGGAGCATAGGGCAAGAGGAGGTGAGGCAAGAAGGGGCCAGGGCTGGGGCTCTGGGGCTCCAAGGGCGTGCTAGCCACTGCCACTTCCCATCCTCCCTCAGACCCGTCCATCTGATGTCCAGGCGGACTTCATGGAGCCATGAGCAGCAGGGAGAGCTGCGGGCGGGGGGGCCCAGGCGAGCTAGGCAGGGCAGGGCCTCAATGGGAGGACAGAGACGGAGCAGAAGGAGACAGGCCAGTGGGCTCCAGGGCTGGGGCTGAGGCTGTTCTGAGGGAGGGGCCCAGGGTAGGCATTGTGAGCAAAGGGTGACGTGAGGGGCCCGCCGCATGCGTGTGAATAAACCAGCGAGTATTCCTGTCACCTGAGTTTGGAGACCATGTCCCCTGTGGGTGATTTTCTGAAGAGAGAACCCTGTAATTGTCATCAGCCTCAGAGCAGCTGTGACCCACCATGGTTGGTGTGGGTTCCCCAAGAGGGAAGGATGAGGAGCTCTGGTGCCCAGGGCACCCTTGACACTGAACCTGGACCCTGCCCTGACCCCACTCCCTGCAGACCCTGGGTGGGCCTGAGAGGGCTGTGCCCAGGCATGGTGACAGCTGGGTTCTCTGCTCTAGCTGGAAGATCACGAGTACAAGCCTTTGGACCCTAAAGACATCCGCCTTCCACCCCCCATGCCGCCCAGCGAGAGGCTGCTGGCTGCGGTGGAGGCCTTCTACAGCCCCCCATCCCACGACAGACCCAGGAACAGGTAAGGGGCCCAGGTCGGTGGGGCGGGCAGGAGGCCTCTATCCCCTCTCCCAGCTCCCAACAGCCATCCCCTCTCCCAGCTCCCAACAGCCACACCTTCTGCCCAGGCTAGAAAATGTAGCTGTCTCTCAGGAGAAACTGCCCCCCTGCCCGAGTGACAAGTGTGTGTGTCACAGGCACAGCACACACGTGGCCCTCAGTGGAGGGCATTTTAATGGAGACACATCAGAAGAACTTAGGGAAGGTGTGGTTTGGCGGCACGTCTCAAGCAGCCGGCTGCCACAGGGCCCTCAGCCCACCCTTCCCAGTGGTCACCCCTTCTTCCTGTGCCGGGCTGTAGGCCTGTCTACCCATGAGTCAGTGTTCCTGTTCCCCAGTTCCACAGACCATCAGTCCCCACCACCTCAGTGGAACAGCAGGGTGGCAAGGGCATGGGCACCAGAGGAGCCACTGGGCTGCAGGAGGACAGCCCCGTGGGAACCCTGAGCCAAGGTCTGCTGCACCCATGCTCAGAGCCCACAGCCACAGAGCCATGTACTCTCCAAGGTTCTGTGGATTAACTCCTGATGACTTTTCCACGAGTTCCTTGTGGGTGGGCGTCACGTGGTCACACAGGGAATGCCGTGTCTTACAGTGAAGGCTGGGAGCAGAACGGCCTCTATGAGTTCTTCCGAGCAAAAATGCGGGCCCGGCGGAGGAAAGGCCAGGAGAAGAGGAACAGGTAAAGCGCAGACGTCTGCAGTGGCCGGGCGGCCAGAGCCCACCACGTGCGATGGGAGGGTTTAGAGTAGACTCCAGACACGCTCAGCACGTCCCCCCTCACACAGCCTGTGCCTGTGGGGCGGTGTTTTCCACACGGCCTGAATTCGCACAGCAGCAGGCTCGGCCACACTGTTTAGGAACTTGATACCGCTGTGTGGCCATGGCGCCATATCCACAGCCACACCCTGCATCTGGGGTCGTCCAGGAACCTGAGGGCCAGGGTGGGCTGCCACAGGGGCACGCGATCATCAGGCCTCTCCCCACAGTGGACCCTCGAGGTCTCGGAGCAGATCCAAGAGTCGAGGGCGTTCTTCCTCCCGCTCCAACTCAAGATCCTCCAAGTCTTCAGGCTCCTACTCAAGGTCAAGGTCGCGCTCCTGCTCCCGCTCCTACTCCCGCTCCAGATCCAGGTAGGCAGAGGCTGCCGCAGGAGGGCAGTGCCCGAGGCCTCTTCCTGTGGCCTCCCCACGACGCCTGGCTGCTGCTGACCGTTGGGCACCCTTCCCTGCAGAAGTCGGAGCAGGTCACGCTCCTCCAGAAGCCGCTCCCGGTCCCAGTCACGGTCCCGGTCCAAGTCGTACTCCCCAGGAAGAAGACGCCGGTCACGGTCCAGGAGCCCCACCCCGCCGTAAGATCCTGTCTTAACTGCCGCGCTGGTAACGCTGGGATGCTGCAGTGCTTTGCTGTGAATGTGGAAACATTGGTGGTTAGGAGACTATGTTAGGAGTTAGGAGGCCGCCAGCATTAGCCCAGGGACAGTGGCACCCTCACCCTCACCACAGTAGTCACTTGGCAAAGCCTGAGGCGGTAGCTGGGGTCTGCTTTCTAACCACCATCGGGGTTCGAGGTGCCCTGCTCTCAATGCTGAGCGTGGGGTGGGGGCCAGCGTCTGGAGCCCCCTTGTCTAGCTGAGACAGGATGAACGGGTAGAGACGCAAAATCTGCATACAGTGTCACCTGGCGACAGTGAGCATGCACGCAGGCTGCAGCTGTGAGGCCCTCATCACTGTCATTCCAATAAATGTCTCAGTTACTTCTTAAAAGAATAACCTGTCTCGATTTTAGTTCCTCTGCTGGTCTGGGTTCTAATTCGGCACCTCCCATCCCTGACTCAAGACTCGGAGAAGAGAACAAAGGCCATCAGATGCTGGTGAAGATGGGTAAGGCGGGGGAATGGGGAGGGCACGGGAAGGGTCCTCAAGTGTGCTGGACCTGGGAGTCGCCAGCGCTTTCTCTTCCTCAGTGCATGTGGGGATGGATGGAGTCAGGCCAGTTCTCTACCCATTTCCCATGTCTACACTGCGTGTCTGGACATTCAGTCCCCCATGTGCACCCCCATCTGCCTCCGTCCTGTCGTGGTTGTGACTGTGCGTCTCTGTTTCCAGGCTGGAGTGGCTCTGGCGGCCTCGGCGCGAAGGAGCAAGGGATCCAGGACCCCATCAAGGGCGGGGACGTCCGGGATAAGTGGGACCAGTATAAAGGCGTGGGCGTGGCCCTGGACGACCCCTACGAGAACTACCGCAGGAACAAGAGCTACTCCTTCATTGCCCGCATGAAGGCCAGGGACGAGTGTAAGTAGGCGCCCATGCCGGGAAGCGCCGTGCCGGTGGCCAGCGGTGCCGGCCGTGGGACCTTCCTGGCTGACTGGCAGTGGAAGATCACAGTGACAGTTCAGTTCTCACACCGTCTCCACTTGTGGAGAGCCACAGGAAGAGAAGGAAGACCAGCGCATGCCCAATGGGAACACCATGCTCCATGGCGTGGAGGGCACGGGCGCCACCCACAGACCGCACCAGGAGGCGCTACAGCCACCAGGGCCCCAGGCTTGTTTCCCTGTACAGTGAAGCAAGAAACACAAGACCCTCCGCCCCGAGTAAGAATTCTTCACCCATGAAGGGATGGATGTGCATCTGCCCTACGTCAGATTGAAGCCTCCTCTTAGGCTCCAGCAGGAGCATGTGCGGGAGGGGTCGGCCTGGGCTGGGCCAGAGCCGGCGCCCCAGCTCTGTCCTCCAGCTCCCACCGCCCACCAACCCTGACCCGGTTTCCCCTCGGCTGTGTAGGGACAAAGCTGAGGCCCAGTGCCATGACTGCCCGCAGATTGAAAAACAGAAACACGTTTTTGACTTGACTTGCAAAGTGAAGCAGGTTTTCATTTTTACTCCCCTCGGTTTAGTTTTAAAAAGAATATTGACCTGAGAGGGGGCCCAGTGAGATTCTGAAACCCAATTCTTCGAAGGCGTACTGGCCCTTAGTTCAGTTATTTTAGTTGTTTAAGTTGATATTTTTTTTTCTGGAATGTAGCCATTTGCTGTTATCTGGGAAACAAGATTCTAACAGGAAACCAGCCTAAGACACTTCAGGTCGAGCGCTCCCTTGGAGTCCGTGCCCGTCGCATCCCCTGCTTGAGTTTCGCACTTGGAAGAACCCTGCACCGGCTGGCGTGTGCTATGGCCCCGTCCCATCCAGAGCGTGGAGCCCGACCCCAGCCAGCACCTGCCGCTCCGGCATTTCATTTCACACCCCTGAAAGGAGGGAAGGCCAGGAGGGAGCCGCCCCTGTGGAAGCTGGTGGGCAACTGCTGGGAATCGGCCACACGTGGTGTCCGTGGGCAGCCTGGCGCAATGCCATTCATTTGTACAAAAACATTTTTGAAAAATTTTCAATAAGATGCGAAATCCTCCAACTTTTCAACCCAACGTGATGAATATTTGATTTTGTTCTAGATTTCCTGTAGCTGTGAATTGTTAAAATGTATGATTCAGGATAAGACGTAAACACGTGCTGTTAGTAATTTCTTGTGGATTTCATTGTTTTGCCTTCAAATAAAGCCTTTTTTTAAAGACCTTTCTCCCACACGTGTATACGTCAGAAGTGTGCTCGGGCTGACTGAGGAGACGCATGTCCTGGTTTGAGCTGTGCATCCTGGGGTCACAGGCTTCGCCCAGGGGCTCACGTGGCGTCCCCAGCGTGCTGACCTGGTCCCATGTCGATATCCTCGAGCAGGGCTTCTGCTGTCCACCCCACCTTCCTCTGGCTCGCTGGGGTGCCAGGACCTGCCTGGGTGGAGCTGCTCTGCAGAGGCTGGTGGCCCCTGTCCTGCTGTGAGTAGGGACAGCTCCACTGAAACTATTTCCACTGGCCTGTGGTGTCATGGAGCTGGGCATGCTGCTGGGAGAGCTGTCACTGAGCTGGGATTTGGCTCAGAGGAGTCTGGGGCCCTCACCCCCAGCACTGCCTGCCCCACCACGGAACGTCACACCTGGATGCTGATGTGTGTGTGTGTGTCCCTCACCCCGGCACTGCCTGCCCCACCACGGAACGTCACACCTGGATGCTGATGTGTGTGTGTGTGTCCCTCACCCCGGCACTGCCTGCCCCACCACGGAATGTCACACCTGGATGCTGATGTGTGTGTGTGTCCCTCATCCCGGCACCGCCTGCCCCACCACGGAACGTCACACCTGGATGCTGATGTGTGTGTGTGTGTCCCTCACCCCGGCA